ATATATATATATATATATATATATATATATATATATATATATACACATATATACATATATATTCTGTCTGTAATTCAAGAACGATGACACACAATTTGCTCAACGATTGTAAACGAAATCCCCTTTTGCCGTATAAAAAGGGTGAAGACAAGTGGTTCAGCGCATCGCCCCGGAATCAAAGAACACCAACTGGACTACTACACCAGTTTTTCATATTCATAACGATAAAGCTCAATTGCGTTTATTTGCTCGAAGTGGAAGCAACTATAGTTTACTACTCCGAGTCCATGCGTCGAACCACCATAATGAAAAGAAAATCCTCGGATGTGTTCAGACTGATCCTGTGGACACACACGCGAGAGGTTCTGTTTAGATAGACGATAAGATGTCCCCTTCCACGGTTTTACAGCGATTTTAAGTAGTGTTCGAGAAACGTTGCACAATTTTTACGGACTGTCGTACACCGCCGTGATAGTCAAGTTCGTCGATGCCACGCTGTCGGGCGAACCGTAGCTAGGCGAAAGTATATTTACAGAAGACTGTTACTAGCAGTCGTTGGTTCGGGATGAATCATCCACGATCCAGTTCCGTCGACCTTGAAGCTTCAAATGGGGCCCGAACGACTGAGAAAACGGGAGAAGCTGAAGAGAAGCGTTCGAGGGCCACGAAACGATGATATATATATATGTATATTATCGGATTCCCCTTCAAGATAATTGTTGACGATGATGATCTTCGCTGTTATACTAACTTTCGTCCTTTTAATCTTAAAACATGTAACATGTATACATTCACGCGAGTCGATCGAGAAGCGTCCCCTCGGATAGAGGTTGGATCCCGAGTTTAGATAGAGAGAACGTATCTCCCACGACCCTGACAATCGTTCCTTTTTTTTGATCGATTTTTCGCGACTATTGCGCGCGTATATATATACATATATATATATATATATAAATAAATAACTATTGTATTTCGGTAGTTCGATCACCATGTCCAGTCGGACCTTGCGAAGTGAATACACTCACATACACACACACACACACACACACACACTGGGATGTACGGCGTCCACCTCAATTGTCTGTTGATATAATTGTTCCGGGTGCTTTATACGATCGAGAATGGGGATGTACATTTTGTGTTTTTATTACACTTTATTATTATTTGATTTCAACGTTTTGTCATGTATTGTGTCCGGTAATAAACGGCAAAGTGATATAAATAGAAGGGAATTGTGCCAGAGTTGTCGAGGTCTCGGTGGCGGAGCGCGTAGAGTCCTCGACTACTACGGAAACGACTAGGGTTCGAATCTCCGAGGGGCCCCCTTTTAAAAATTCGCGGATTTTTCTTTCGTTTATATTAGTGGGCTGACTCTAATTGATTAAAATTAGTGTTAATATATGGTATATATCATAAAATTGAGAAAACAAAAATTGTCCGTACATCCCCGTTCGAAAGAAAAGTAAAAATAATTTGGAAACTTCTTTAGGAATTTAATATTGCGAATGCGCTGGTATTTGAGCCACTCACGCGCGCGTCTGTCTGTTAGTAGTGGTGTGAAGTTCTTCCTAACAAAAGAGTGGTGGTTCCATTCGAAAAGGTAGAAAATGGAGGAAAAATACGCGGTAGGATAAGGGATGACAAAAAGAACGAGGCTGGGGGATATTTAATAATATTTATTGAGAGTACTTGAGAATTTAATTAGTACTTAAGTTTAGACGACTTAATCAGTAATTAAGGTCTTTCGAAATAATTCCTGCAGAATATATTATTGTATTCGAGGTTACGAGGCGAAACTCGTGGCGTTCTTCTCGTGGGAAATATAGAAAATAATACGATACCGTTTTCTTGGTAATTACAATTCACACTTATCCAAGGGAAACCAAAGTAAAACATACGAATATTGTAATTCGATCATAAGAAAAGAAAAAGCACAATTTATATATTTGTTACAAACACGAATGGAAGGTTTTCTCGTTTTCGTTGAACGGGAGGGAGAACGACGCGAGTGTCGCTCAGAGCGAAGTTTAGAATCACCACGCATATTGTAAATAAGCCCCGAAGAATTCTAATTTTAACGTGTTAAGTAGTAACAGAGAAACCGTTAAAGTTTAACGGATCGAAAGATCGTTGCGAAATGGTTAAATCCCGAAGTCCAGTAGTGCTAACCGATGGCTGTGATACGGATAAGGAATACAAAAACGTACACGAGAGAACGAACAAACAAAAAAAAAAACATACGAGAATAATAATGATAATAAAGAGAACAAAAAAATAACACAATCTAACCAGAAGTAAAACATCGGTGCGAATCGAACGGGGGGAAGAGAAAACTTGCGGCGAGTTCTCTTGTTCCTCGATCTGTCTTTCTCCCACTTTCTCTTCCTCTCTCGCTGTTTCTCTCGATGTCAGAGTGGTAGCATCGAAGGTTCGAGGGCGACGACGACGTGATTGAGACCGCAAGGATCTTGAAGAAAGAGTGACGCTTGAAAGTCCCGCTCGTAAAATAATGCCCGCGACATTCCCAATAATACATTCATCGTGACTTCGTCTCTTCTCTTCGGAGAATTAATGCAAAAGAAGTCAGTGTACATTTATTAGGAAGAGCAAAAAAGAATGAAACGAAAGATTCTACGATCCACGTTTTATTGTAAATCGATCCACCAAGGTAGTGAGATCTATACCCGGTTACGCGAGCCACGACGCACTCGCGATAAGTGGAGTGAGCCCGGAAGTCGTGGAATCTTCGACCATGTTGACACCTGGATCTCTGGATCCCTGGGCCGTTCAGCTGCTTTCAAGTCTTCCTAGATCATTAGATCGGTAACCATCTCGCAATTATCCGTGTCTTTCGTTCATCTAGATCTCAAGATCTTTGGATTTATAGGATGCTTAGCTTTCCACGTTTCCTGGATCCTAGATCATTGTAGATCAGATCTTGGGAGTTCCTTAGATCCTAGATTATTATAGATTAGGTCTCCTTGGGAGTTCCTTCGATCCTAAATCATTATAGACCATCCTAGATTATTATACATCAGGTCTTGGCACTTCCTTAGATCGTAGATCATCCTAGATTATTAAACTGTCTGAATTACCTATGTCTCTGGATCATCTAGATCTCTATTTCTTTGGATTCCTGGATCATCTGGATTTCCCAGGCGATCTAGACGCCCAGGAGTGGTTATTCCCCGCCTTCCTGGCTATCTCGTATAGTTGTAAAGAGATGTATACATGCACACGCACTAGACCGCCACGCGCATACACAGAACACTGTTACATCGATATTATTAGAAGAATACGACTATGATATACGGTAGATTAAAAACACGCGAGTTTTCGTGCGAAAGAACGTTTGCATCCGAGAATACGCGTTGAACACTTTTTGAACACAAATCACCCGAGAACACAGTCGCCCTTTTGTACTGATGATTTTTCAGAAGACACTCATCAACCTAACATATTCTGTCCACTTGTTTTTTCTTTTAAAAAAAAATCAGGAATCTGGATGTTTCCTCACACCAGCAAACCGAACACAAAAAACAAACTGAAACGTTTCTCCACGAGGGGACTGCGGATTTTTTTTTTCACGTGATTATGAACATATACAGATGTGGTTCTTTACTGCATCGAAGTAGTTCCGCCAGCTGTCATATAAAATAAGAAGAAAATCGATACTAACATTTATCGAACTTCAATATCCTCAGTCAACTCGTGGGTACCAGCTTTTACGTTGTCTCTACAAATTCCCGCGCGAAAATGGGTCGAAGGACAGATCCGTTAAATGCTCCTCGCGAACCGCAGAAAATCATCAGGACAAAACGCAGTCCGAGACCAGAGAGAGAGAGAGAGAGAGAGAGAGAGAGAGTAACCAGCGTGTTCCGACAACTCGTTCTTTTAACCTTCCAACATAGATAGAGGATACTTAGCGCCACGGACGAGCTCGTAACGGAATGGGAGATTCGAATTTACAAATTCCAATAAACGGAATTCTGTTTCGTATTCCATCGTCCAGACTACACTGATCTCTCGATGGATGCGCCACGAGCATTATTCCCACCACTGGGAGAGTCCCCCTGTGGAATCAATCAAAACAGAGTAAACAATTTTAGGAGGAGCTTGAAAACCTTTCTGCCTTGTCACGAATGCTTCGAAGTGGACTCGAGTACGCCGCACTCATCGAGACATTACTGTATTTCTAAATTGCTTTCATTCACTTCACAGTATACTACACAGATACACGAATAATTTCGAAATCAGTCGAAAAACACAAGTCCCGTTCCCCCAAACGCTACACGTTCAATGTCAAAAAAAAACCGAAACAAAATTCCAGTTCCGAATGCTACACGTTCAATGTCAAAAAGAAATCCCAGTTCCGAATGTTACACATTCAAAGCGAAGAAAATCGAGAAATTCCGTTCCGCTGAGTTCATCCGCGACGAAGCTTCACACACACACACACACACACACACACACACACACACAAAACCTTTCTAATCCTCGTTGCTACCGGTCACACGGGTCCGCGTGATGATGCTGTGTAGTCGCTCTCGTTAAATTTGATTAAAACAACTAGAAACTGAAAAGCCGTCTGTCCATTTTATTCAACGCACCACCTGTCCACCTATTTCTCAGCTGTGCCTATCTTCTCTCCTTAACAATCGTAAGAAACGATCATTTGCTAACATTCCTGGAGTTTTTCAGGTGGTGGAGGGGGCGGCGGAGGTGGCGTCGGCGGCGGAGGAGGAAGAGGACGAGGGATCAGCGGCGGTCCACCTGGAATGGGCGGAATGGGAATCGGCAGCGGCGGCGGCGGCGGCGGCGGTGGTCCAGGTATGCTCGGTAGAGCAGGTGGATTCGGACCCCGCGGAGGTGGTCCCCACGGCGGATTTCTCGGCGGCAGCGGTGGTCCCGGTGCCATGAGGATGGAGAAGATACACCCGCATCGTTTCAACCCGATAGGGATGGGGGGCGGTTACGTGCAGTCGCATTTCTGGTGACCTAGCGTCGAGCAGCCAGCAGCCACCAAGACACCATCATCGGCCACGTACCTTTCTTCGTCTGAACGGAGACAAAAAACCGGCGACGACTGTCGTCGTTCGTAATCGCTGTCGCCCCCCGTGCGAGCGAGCGAGCGATCGTGAGGCGACGTTATGCATACGGAGCCCCTGTGTGATCTAGGATCACAGAAAAAAAAAGAACACACTAAACATACCGAGAAGGATCGTCTCAAGCAACCCCCGGAGGGAAGGATGATGATGATGGACTACGACGACGACAGCGGCCCGAGGAGGAGTAGAGTCGTCGAGAACGACCGGCTCGGCGTGTACAGCTTTACGAACGACGGCGTACTGACTGACAACCGAGTGTAAATTATTCTGCGCGTATAATAGTATTTAATGTTTCTACGTGCCTGTACCAAAGCTCGCAACACCTAGTATTGTACGTCCAGCGATGGGCAGATTCCCTCCTTTAGATGCATGTGTCTTTTTTATTAGAGCGCTTCGGATATTGTATTCAAGGCGGGCCCCTCCGGGGAGGATCTTGAAAGTTCTTGGTTTTTGTAACATTGACGCGCTGGAAATGTAATCTCTGGGGCTTTCAAGATTCTTTCTGGCCAATATGTACAGGATGAGTCGATAGGAACTGTTATCTGTAACAAGTCGTTACCTATTGATTGTAGCAGAAAACGTTTTTTTGATACAACCAATAGGTAATGAGTTATTTTCAATAGCAGTTCTTATTTACTCACCCTGTATATACGTATCTGGGTAGCCTGAAAGTCTTGAAACTCATTAGGAAGTAACAGGCAATAGTTATATATAGTCTCACCGACTACGATTGTCTCTTCACCCGTAAGTTATTGTACTTCTTTATCTATGTGGTTCAGTCATTCTTCTCTCACACTGTCGATGTCACTCTTTCACTAGAATATACTTCAAGACTTTCAGCGCAATACAGTGTACAGTAAACTCGCGTTAAAGTACCGGTTCGGGGCTCTCTAGGCGGGTTTTTCCTGGAAACGCTACTTTAACGTGAGCCAATGGGCACACAGGATCTCGTGGCAGTTCGGCCAATCCACCAATTGGACCAGAACTTTGTTTACAGATGGCGACCGATAGTTGGTTGTGCGCACGTTTGTGAGTAATGCGTGTGAGCTGGTTCTACCGCTAGTTTAACGCGAGTCTACTGTAGTGGAAGACACATACATACACACACACACACACACACACACACAGTCTGTATTAAATTCTCAGGGGGCGATTCGAAGCGCCGTCTCTCGAGAGCCCATCGTTGCGCGTCTCCACGTCGCTTTTTTTAATCGTTAACACGTTCGACTCCCTTGTCTAGCTTTAACACCGCCGTTCCAATTTGCGCGTGAAACTACTTCGTAGCGCTCGCGATTCCGCCGACCATATTAATAATGCTCGTCGATTAATAATGACGAAGGTACAAAAATGTTCTGCGGGTCACCGAGAACATGGCCACCTGTTGTTAGGTCGAATATAGCGCCGGGCCCCCGCCTCGGTGACCGGAACTACCCCGCGAAATCAATTCTGTCCGCCGCGCGACATATTCTGGGAACGATGGTCCCTTGAAAAATCTGTCTGCTCTTTTTTTAGAGATAGCGTGTGCGCTTTAATGGGGCGCCACTAACGTTTATAAATGCTCAGGACACTTATAAAAGGAAATGCAACTGAGGTACAGTGATCCCTCGATGAATGCGACACCAGCAACGGCGTTATTCGTTAATTAAAACAAAGTAGAGGCTCGGCTTTAGGCAGAAAAAGCAAATTTATGCTCCGAAATGGAACCGAGTACGTCGCACTCTTTAAGACATTACTGTATTCGGGACAATTACCACGCGAGGCATCCAGAACACTTGTGAAAGTAAATTCCATTAAGGTATTAGGGAAAATTATTGAGCACCCGAAGCAAAGATATTGTTTAGAGGATATTAATGCCACGTAATAACAATTGCCGGGGAATAGAAAATTTTGTATGAAACTTAACGTGTTCTTTATAGAGGAATGTGTACGAAATATGTACGAGTGTCCTGTTTGGTACTTGTGAACGTCACTGGGCAGTTCTCAGTTCGAACTCTGTCGCGACACTGTTTCAAACCTCTTCACGATCGCTCGAGAAGACACCAGGAGCCTTGGAAGTTCGTGTTTCCTGAGAGTTTCGGGGGTTCTTAATTGGGTAGGGGGTGGGAAAGGGGGGCACGTTGACCGGCGGAAGCTGAGAGTTCTACGCGTTGTTGTACATTTCCTTTTTAATGGTTCTAACTTGAAACTTTATCGAATGTTTAATGTTAAGAGAGAGAGAGAGAGAGTGTGTGTGTGTGAGTATGTTTGTGTGTGTATGTATGTATGTATGTATGTATGTATGTATGTATGTATGTATGTATGCATGTATGTAAAAGACGGAGAGAAAGAATTTTATCGGAGTCAGCGTGCAAGGAGACCGCGTTCCCCAATACACGGCGTTGGGGCACCGATGGTCCAAGAGAAAAAGATAAATTCCAAAAGAGACACGAAAAAATAAAAATAGACGGAAATTTCTTACCAACTAGAATTCACGTGGTAACTTTTTTAACTGCTTAGCATTTTAAACGATTATTATAATATTAGTGTACTTAAAAAAGAACCGGAACGGAGCTTTTTATTAACGGACCGTCGGATGTGTCGAAACCGCCGTGTAATATGTGTACATAGACTGCAAGAAGAAAAAAATAACGGAAACATGCTATTACATCGCGGTACGTCGTAGAAGAAAAATGAGACTGACTTTTTATAGGGGGATAAATTTTAACGCGCGCGCGAAACACCACTCTCGCGTGTTGTCCGATTCGTGAGTCGTGTTTATGGTACTTTTTAAAAAGGGAAGAAAACAAAAACCAGATATCGAAATTGCCTTATTATATTATATATTAAACGTGTATACGTGTCGTGTGTACATCTCGTTAGACTGCGGATGTTTATTGTTCAACTGGTTGAAAAAGAAAAGTAATTCGAATTCGAACATTGCAAGCAAAGCATAATATTCGTACACACTCCGTTGATTCAAGGGGAGACGTTCAATTTCGTATTTTCACCCTGTGATTCTGAGATTCTCAGGGCTTGGTTTGCATATAAACATCCGTACTCTATGGAATTATATATATATATAAATAATTGTATCGCGGAGCTGTAAGCACGCCGCGGCGTTTCCTTTTTATCAAATTGAATCGCGAGTCGTCGTTTAATTGTCCGGAGGAATGATAACCAGGTGTCCGTTCGGGTACGAAAACCTGCGCCTGTATTAATTCTCCTTTCAACTTTATTTCTTCTTCTTCTTCTTCTTCTTCTTCGTTAACGACATTCTTCGTACGGTACCCCGCCTCTCGAGAGATAATTCTAGTTCTAAGGGTCTAATTGTTTAAGACGAAAAATAAATATCTGCAAACCGAGTCGCGCGTTTTGCCCTTTTCGCCGATGCGTGAACGCACGCACACGTTCGCTGTCTTATTGAGGAACTTGTAAAAATCTATTTTACATTTTCTGTAAAGATTTTTAGAGTGTATAGGGTAGGGATGGTGTGAAAAATCACCAGTAGTGATTTATCACAATGATCGTGATTCTTTATCTTTAAGAAGAAAAACTTATTGACTGTAAAAATGAGTTTTAAAATAGCAGTTCACGCGATCTCTAAATTCGTTGGAACACAAAAGGACTCAGTAAGACAGCAAGCGTGTCGAGTCAGTCGAGATAGATTCAGGGGTAGAGGTTAAGAAAATGTGTTTAAAGATCAAATTTGCGTGTAAACGGATTTATTGCAGTCGCACCGAGGCACGACTTACCCTTGTGTACAGAACAGATGAAAAAGAAGTGTAATACAGTCGTTAGGTCCAGCGATGTCTTTGCTCCGGTTACGGTATTGCCCTTCAAAAGGCAGCTTGCGTTGCAAAGAAAGCAAAGTTGCCCGATGATGAGCCGCAACGTAGCCAGATTGAAAGTTTCTACTAGCCCTCCCGTCTTCCAAAATGGTCTTCGCTGTAACTGCTGCTGCAACATTGTCGTCCAGTCCTCCAAACAGGGGGGCATGGTTATGCACACACACCATCACCACGACAAGGGACACACGGTGTGGCTGGGACAAGAAACGTTTTCCGTTTGACGATTCTTGAGCTTCGTTCAGAAACTTTATATAACAGCCTCGGTTCTCCACCCACAGGAAACTCTCTGCGGTCTAGAGATTAGCCGGGCGAGCCTCGCGAAGAGAGGAAACAGGAAGGGGCGGATAGCTGCTGCTGCTGGTGCACCGACCGAGATATCACCTTTATAAATTTGGCTTTAAGAATCACGGTCCAGAGATAGAGAGATCTTCTCCTTCTCCGAGAATTCTTGGACACACACAGAGACCCCCAAAGGTACACACCAAAGTCCTACTTCCATCCTTTTATCGAAACTCCTGAATGTATCACATTACTACACATAATTAACCTGGAATTTTTAGGGTTAGTACAGTTTTCGTTGGAGCAATCTGAAGAAACTCTTTAAGGCACTTCTTTCTCTGAGAATTCCTGGACAGACATACAGAGACCTTTAAAGGAGACCTACTTCCATCCTTTTATTAGAAACTCCTGAATGTGATGATACTTCATCTGCAATTTTTAGGATCCGTACAGTTTTTATTACACCATTCGCGATGAGGAAGTATTTAAGAGAGGAAGTGATGTAGAGAATCTTTCCGATTCGTTAGACGGGATCGTCTTCATCCCTCCACCGGGCCCCAAGTGTTTTTCCTCCCCTCTTTCTTGGCCCGAATCCCCCTCTGGGGCTTGCGTGTGGAAAGCTGCCGTTCGAGGCCCCTTTAGAAATGCAGCCTGACGTCAAGTGAAACGCGCGCGAACATCTGCTGCACGCATGGTGAACGAGGATGTCTTCGAGTTTCACGGTATTTTGTGTGTCGAGAAGCTTCGTCCTACTCAACTTATTAAGATTCGTTATACTATATGCAAGATTTTCAAACTATTCACTTTGTTTTTTAGTAATAAGAAGTAGACATATCGGAAGAAGTAGTTGGCGGATGTTGACTATCAGAAGAACGGGGAAGAGTTTGCAAATTACTTGTTTCTTTTCTGTTAAACTTATTCCTGCATCGTGACTACAGTCTTCAGAATATGCGGAAAGAAGAAGACATACAGGATTTCAATAACCACACAGGAGATAGATTCCGGAAGCGTCTCAGCGTGGAGTAGATATTAATTTTAAGGAGATCGATTGGTTCTAATGCCCATAGTACATGAATCATCACAGAGGACTGTCTTTCTCGCCAGGGAGACAAGAATAGATCGCGATGATCAACATCATTCATGTTACACAACGCGTTCCTGAAATTTATTCAGTGACCTCGGACACAGGACCCACCTGGTCTGTCTTTCTAGATCTCCGATAACAGTCTCCAGCTGCTTGAAAGTTCGCAACGAATAAATGAATATCGCGACGGGGAAAGAAAACCGTGGCGACGGAAGACAGAACTGTGACTTACGATATCTCGATCGACGCAGTGGAAAAACAAGCCAAATAGGATCATTCGGGATTTTTTTGTACAAGTTAACCCCTTCCCCTATGATTTTCTTGATGTCCGCAGTTTCCAGAATGACTTCATCATTAATAATTCCCCAGAAACAAAAAGAATTCGTCTACTTATCGCAATTGTCCATTTACTCTAAAAGTTAAATATTAATATCAGCAAACTAGTATTTCACATTGACTGAAAGATGGTGAATAATATTTCTGTTTGTTGAATCCATTTTGATATCGTCAGCACGAGGTCTGACTCGATGTTATAAGGCAAGGGGTTAACCGAGTCTTGCAGCCATGCGGTCGCCAAAACGCTTTGAAGACTCTCCTCGCCACCGCCGGCTAGAGAATCTCTCCCACTTAATGTTATATTGTGTTATGTGTGACCCACCGATGAGTCACACGCTGCAGTTGATTTTTCGTCGCTTGGATCAACGAGCTAGCGTCGATGCACGCCGCGCTTGTACGCACGCGATATTGGGGTCACTTTTTCAACGGGTGCGTTTCATTCTACGAGCCACGCCGCCACCAATATAAATCCTTGCATTTATGTACCTCAATCAATCGTCTGAGAATATAAGAATACAGTAAATTCTCGATGAGTGTTCGAATGTTCCTGAACACTGAACATTTCATAAATTAATGGCCATGTGCAGCTGAAAGAAATATCATTGGCTCCAGCATTCCAAACCGTATCATTGTCAGTGTCAAGGAGCCTTCGAACACTCTTCAAGGATTTACTGTATATTTGATACTGTTTTTTTACACGGAATGAAATTCTCATTTATAAAGAATTATTGAAGTATGAGATCCGAAACTAGTCAGACACAGTTATAACGAATTCAAGTCCGACAGTTTTCAGGAGCCTTGACCCGTCCAGGAAGTTAATTCGCGTAGCAATTAATGATACAGCGACAGCTGCTGTATCCGGCATGGGTTTCAATGACAACAATCGAAGCAATCGGTCCAACAGCTGCGGTAGAATGACCAAACCCAAATACACTTTGGATCGCGTTAATTGGAATTGTATTCTATGGAGCGAGTTAAGTTTTCAATTTCAAGCATGACAGAAAGAGATTTCAGACGGTCGGTTCTGATGAGATAGCGCGCGTACACCACCGTTACAGATATTCGTTTTACCCGATAGATCGGCTCGTTTCCGCCCAGCCGCGATATTCACCGAGACCCAGGAAAATCGTGCGGCTTTGTACCAGATAACCAAGTAGCGTTTTCCCCTTTTTTCTCTCATGGAACGTCGATTCCGCTTCCACGGAGATACGGTGCGTGTCGAAGATATGTTATAATCTATATTATAACGATAAATATTGTTTAGAGTCGTAAATGCAGATGGATTGTAACGTTGAAGCGTACACTACACTTGTTTGGTTTTTAGATTTGGACACACGTTTAACGCGCGAAAAATCAAACGCAAACGGATCTCCGCGACCAACCCCCTGTGAGATCTCGAGGGCGACTGAACAACACTGAACTTGATTCGCGGGGCAACCCGAGGGGGGAGCAGGGAGGATTCCGAGAGAAAGAGAGAAACACGTGGTGCGCGCTTGATGAAGAGGGGACCCCACACTCGGATGGATAAGATGTGTGTGTGGAGAACGACTGGGCTCTCCACCACATGGAGCCATGAACGGGGATATTCGACCCGAGAAATCTGAAATCTAAACTCTGGGCCTCCTTTGACACTCCGTAAACATTCCCTGATAACCAGTTGTGCACAAGTTGCAAGAAAATTGCCAGAAAATCATGACAAAAGTTGTCTAGAAAACCACAGCCATATCTGTTTCCGCATTTCATTTGGGTTTTGCCGGCAACGCCAGCTGACAGAATGGTGAAGCAAATTGGCAGAAAGTCTTGCAACATTACCAAGGTTTGCACAAGCTAATTTGTTGCATATGTTGCTGGTCGTGTATGGCAAATCTTGCACCAAACTTGTAGTCATAACTTTAACAGGCATTGGACAAAATTTGGCTTTGTAGGTTTGGCCGACTGGGTTGTCAGAGAGGTTGTTGAGAGAGCACTGTTTAAGATAACGTGCGCGCATCGTGTGTTATTCAGAACTGATAAGTAGACTACGGATGCTGACAGACATTGATTTCCTTTATGAAGAACAGATTTGCTCCACTGTATTTTGTACACAAAATTCATTGTAAATTGTACGCTAATTCTGTTTAGAAATATTTCGTGGGACATTTAAATGGAACACCTAAATATCTACGTTATTATTAGTCGTATAAAAGAATTCCAGAGGATAAAGTTCCACTGTCTCAAATGGCTAATACTAATAATACTAATAATAACGTAGACATTAAGGTGTTCCCATTTAAATGCCGCACCCTGTATATACAATAAGAATTGTTTTTCTAACTGAGAGAGTAATTTCCGAGAACAATAAGTAGGTATATTTCATGTTGCATCAGAACAGACAGATTTTTTCAGAATTAAGTGTATTATCAGTACAAAATAGATCAAACACACAAATTATGGGTAATATTGTAAATGAAATGGACAGCTTTTTTCTGAATCGTTGATAAAGTGAATACAATTTCAGGTTTAAGAAGAGGAATCCTCGACTTGCCCCGCATTAATGATCCGTCTCCGAGGAAGCCTCCGAGTGATCGATAATCCACAAGGCCTAGACATTCGTTTCTACATGGATCGAAAAGCGTTATCGCTGATCTGGAGGTTAGGTCCGGAAAGAAAAGCATTGCCACCAGAGAGGGGAAAAAAAGGCCAGAGATAAATTCAACGTTGGAGTAGGAGGAGGTGGTGGTGGTAGCCGGGGGGAATGGGAAAGGGTCAGAGGGCACTGTCCCGAGGCGAGGGGGCAGAGCCAGGGCCACAGAAAAATTTGCATTTCCTGTTCACGATGAATAATGCCGGGTGGAGGAACCGCGACGTCGTCGAATTAACTCACCGATCCCCGGAATTTCCGCCTGATACCCACTGCACTATCGTTCTGTTACACGCGCGTGACTCCTGAAAAGAGAGACCATGTTGAGGAGAGAGATCTTTTCATCATTGGAAAGAATACCTTGTCGCCGGTGGTTTTTCAACTTTACCATAAAAGGGAATTTAAAAATAATTTTTTTGTTCACAAGCATATGTAGCATATGTAGAACAGCATATGTAGAAACGCGCTGTCGGTATTTCCAGAGGATCAAGGGGAGAGTGTATATGTATATGTATGTATTTACCGTCCTCGAGCGTTGCATCAAGGGTGGTTTCAGTAGGGTTGAATGGAGGAGAAAAAAGAAGCAGGGAGGGTGAAGAAATGTTTGTGGGAAAAGGTATTCCTCCAGGCTTGGGGTTGTTGACCATACAGACCTACTTATACGCAAGGGTCTTTGTAGGGGCTTTTGTGACCCCCAGGTGTATATGCAACACGTGGCTTGAAAGTTTGGAGGGGAAGTTTCTTTCGTTTGTCTTTCAGTGTGGACGTGTACCGCAGCAACGCGTTGTGCTCCAGAAAATCTTGATAGCAGGAGCTGCTGCAGCACGTTTCATTGCGATTTGATCAATGAAAATCGTTGAGAAATCATGATGCTGTTTAACAATTGTTGCTGGTTTAAGGAAGTCACGTAACGTTCAATCAAAGGAAAGGAAATTAGCGACTGGTTGGAGAATAATTGGAAGAAAATAGATGACCCGAGGGATAGGACGTAGTTTGAATGGCGTAACGACCGCGGTTACTCGGCAGAGAAACGGGACGCACACTTGTCCCCGAACAAAAAACCACGTGGAAACATCTGCAGCATCGGAAACGGGCCTACGGTGGTCCGTACAAAAACTGTATATGTAGCGTATATGCGTGGGAGCAGGATTTTCTGTCCATCTACACCGTGTTTTCTCTAGGAACGACGATAACATTTGAACCACTATACCTAAAGAAAAACACGATATGCACCCAGATAGCACATGACGACTTGAAGACGCCTCAGACCTAAAATATCCGTAAAATGGGCGACTTGAATGGCGGCATATCGCGGTAATATATCAAGACTCCACTATGTACATACACGTATATATAAAAATTGCAAATTTATTCATATAAATAAAACGATTTACAGACATATAGATGAAACAAAAGTATGAAGACTACGGATTTTATGCGAATAAAATGGAATTTTGAGGTTACTATCTCTTTTTTTCGGTTCGCACAAATGCATCCGCGGCCTAAACGATGAATCGTGTACAAAAAATGCGACTCGAGGACTAGTCTAATATTCTATAGTGACCGTTTTCGTTTTCAGGTACTCGTTCAGAGCCTCCTGTCCGAGATCCTTCCCGAAACCGGACATCTTGAAGCCGCCGAACGGCGCAGCGACGTCTGTCTTGTTGTACGTATTTATGAACACCGTTCCGGACTCGATTTTCTCGGCGAATCTCAGTGCTCGGCTGATGTCCTTTGTCAGAACACCGGAGGCTAGACCGTACTCGGTCCCGTTCGCTCTGTTGATCATGTCCATCATGTTCTTCGAGCTGAATTTCGAGATCACCATCACGGGACCGAAGGATTCCTCCTTGGCGATGTACATGTCGTCCTTGACGTTCGTGAATATCGTCGGCTCGAAGTACCAACCGGAACGATTCACTCGGTTCCCGCCGTAGACGAGGGTCGCACCTTCCTGGACCCCACGACGAACGAAGTCCAGAAGCTTATCCATGTGGGCCTTGTGGTTCTGCGGTCCGTGAGCTGTGCTTCTGTCCAGTGGATCGCCAATCGTGATCTTCTTCGTCTCTTCGACCGTTCTCTTTACGAACTCATCGTGTATGGACTCCTCGACGAACAGGCGACCTAATTTTATAAAACGTGTACAATTAGCAAAAATATTCATTTAGGATCGTTTTATAGACGATTAATTTTTGCTTGAAGAATTCAGACGACCACGTACCAGCTGCGATGCAGTTCTCCCCTTTGTTGAAGAACACGCTGCTCATCCCGACTCTGACCGCGTGCTGAATGTCAGCGTCCTCGAAGATGACAAGTGGACTCTTCCCACCGAGTTCCAGGGAGACCTTTTTCAGGTTACTGTCCGCGCAGGATCTCATTATCGACTTACCGACCTGCGTGGAACCGGTGAAACCGAGTTTCCTGATCATAGGGTGCTCGCAGATCGCATTCCCTGTCGTCGAGCCATCGCCTGGGACTATGTTCACTACACCGGGTGGGAATCCAGCTTTGACGGTGAGTTCGGCGAACTTCAAGGCCGTTAACGGAGACGCCTGGGCCGGTTTCATCACCACGGTGTTACCAGCCGCTAAACAGGCCGCCATTTTCCAGGAGAGCATCATCAGGGGATAGTTCCACGGTGTGACCAAGCCGCAGACGCCTATCGGTTCCTTTCTGGTGAACGTCAGATTGCGATTGGGCCTGGCGTGGGATATCGGAATGGTGGAACCTTGGATCTTGTCGCACCAGCCGGCAAAGTACCGCCAGGTCTCGATCGACATTCCTATATGTGTCTTCAGGGCAAGAGTGTACACCGCGCCGGAGTCCAGGCTTTCTATGGTAGCCAGTTCTTCCCTGTGCTCGTCCATCAGGTCAGCCAGTCTAAGGTGTTTCAAGGAAATTCGATTAGCACTGTTAATGGTTCTTAATCAATGATACACCTTGCAAGTGAGGATTGCTTACTTGAAGAGAATAGCGCCACGCTCTCTGGCGCTGATCTTGCTCCACTCGCCTTCCTCGAACGCCTTCTGGGCAGCCTTCACCGCCCTGTCCACGTCTTCCACGGATCCACACTCCACCGAACAGATGACGGTCTCGTCGTGAGGATTGATCGTGTCGATGGGTTTCCCTTGACCGTTCACAAATTCCCCGTTGATGAACAATTGTCTGGGGAACTTCAGGTTCTTGTGGTTCGCCTGAACCTCCACCGCGTCGTACTTGACATCCTTGGAAGCAGACACGCCACGCGCGACCAGCACCACCGTCGTCGCGAACTGACTAAAGACTGGTGCCATGAAGACGTCGATGTTCTGCAATGTCACCCCCACGTTGTCCTTCACTTCTTCCACCAGCCTGACCACGTCCATGCTTCCAGCCCCTGAAACGAAGAACGAAGATCCATCATTGAATTATTCGGGATCCTACAGACACCATCGAACAGTATTTCTCGTACCGCAAGCGAAGAAATCGGTATCGTTCTCGACATCCATCTTCAGGATGCCCTTCCAAATGCGTTTCAAGGTCTCGGCAGTCTTCAACTCTTCCTCCGTGAACTCTATCACCGTTTCCTCAGTCTTCTGGCCGAACTTGTTCGCCGGGATCGTTTTGGTTCCGATCTTTATCCTCTCCACGTTCACGAACTTCCCGTCACCGGCTGTGATCAACAATCCTCCTTCGTGAAGAACACCCAAATGGTTCTCCACGTCCACTCGGGACTCTTCCCTCGGTAATTGAGCTTTCTCCCACAATGTGGACCCGAACAGGCGTACCTCCTCGCCGTTGATCGTCGTCCAAGCGCCTGGCGTACTGTCCAAACCGCGAATGAAGTCGTGGATCTTCTTCGCCGGCTTGGTCCAGTCGATCTTCTGCAGTTCTTTCTTATTCAACATAGGATCGTAAGTGGCGCCTGCCTCGGTTTGCTGGATCATCGGCGCGATCCCCTTCGCCACGAGGTTCACCGCCTCTCCCATGGCTTTGATACCCTCCGGATAGAGAAAATTATTGTACAGTGAGTCCAACGTGTCGTTCGGATCCACCTTGCAAGAATTTTGCAGCAGAATCGGCCCAGTGTCCAAGCCATCGTCCGCCCAGAATATCGAGAAACCCGCGGTGTCGTCTCCTTCTATCAGAGTCCTGAAAATTAAATAAGAAGCTTGCAAAGATATACGTATGTTCGTTGTCGGGCCTGATCGATATCTAGTACATATATCTATGTGTCGACGACAACTTGGAAAACTGATCCGCAACCGGTTGTGTCCACGACCGCATACAGTCCCAACAGATCGATTTACGCTTATTTCGCCTGCCCCACTCTCGATATCATTCTCACAGATAACAGCGCGGCGTGTACTCTGTACTGCACTCTCTTTCATTACGTTATTACACTCGCGATTATGTTAATAACGCGAGATACTGACCAGTTTATGGCGCTGGCACCACGATGCCTGGGCAGTATAGAAGGGTGGTAGCATATGCTCTTGTGACGAGGATGATTGATCACCTCCATGGGGATGAATTGACTGCAGAACGGCAGCACGTTTAGATCGACCTCGATACCTTTGTACAGATCCAAAACCTCTGGCAATGTGACACCCTTGCTTCTCCAAGATTTGATCTTGAACACCGGCGTGTCGTCTGCCTTCGCGGTTATCGCTAAATGAACATGATATATGGTAGATCAAGACACTGTAAACTGTATCAGCGTGTGTGTAATTTTGTTATGGAGACGTTTCTCTGTACCTAAAGCATCTTCTCGGTTCCCTTTGTCGGGTATCGTGAAGACCCCCGTGATCTGATGACCATTTTGCCTCAGTAATTTGTACACCTCCGCCGCGAACGGGCTCTGACCGATAATGGCCACTTTCAGTTGCGCCATCGCCGTCTACGGTCCGAAGGGAAATTGTCAGCCTCAGTTTTTATCTAACCCGAATTCCAATAGACATACCCACCAAACATGCAACCTGGTTAGTCTACAGGGTGGTGCTTTCATACGTACCTATATGACTCTTTGGGTGTAACTTTCACCGGTATGTTTGTGTTTTTTTGTTTTTAAGCAGACTGCAAATAAAAGAAGGTTGTGAGGAATAGAAGCTTGTGCAACGGAAACTATGTACACATATATGTGAATTATCGCATCTAACTGTAAGTTGCGAACTAGTAATTTGTAATTGCTTTCTCTATCCACCCGATTACCATTTCTACCATTGTTATGCTTACAGCCATTTCAGTGTCACCCGAATGGTAGTAAACACCGTTGGCGATAGCAAAATTGTTATTATACGAGAAGTTAAGAAGGAAATTCTTACGGAATTCACGACGTACGAGCGCCGAGGGAGAAAGTTTCTCAGCGAGAGCATGAAGAGACTGTATCACCGTTCACTCTGGGCACCGTTCACTTGAACACCTCTTAATGTACACCTCTACTTGCGATCATCGACTGAACCGGGCTGAAACGCAGTACGTTTATATAAGGCTAAGAGTGTATCACTCGCTGGAGGTCAAGAACTTGCCGAGACTCACAATTCTCCCTTATCTGAGTGTTCGATTAGTTACTCTTTTTTGGCACGCACGTCTTAATAGTGCTTCCCCGCGAAATTCGTGGAACGCTGATCTGAAGTCAGATTCATGATACGAATTATTATGTAATATGGGATTATATGTACTTATTATATTGGGATATCGATTAGGTGTAGGTGGCTTTTTTTTAGAAAGCAACGTTAACTCCGGGTGTTTTCATTCTTTATGTATAAGATAATCAAATGATATCCTGAAGCGAGATATCTGTAGTGATTAGAGAATAGAAATTTATCATATAATTATACATTGCAACATATGCAACTGTTGCTGCTAGAGATTCATAGTGTAACCAGTTTTGGTTGATTAGTTATCGTGCAATAATATAAGTTGTAACCGGTATGGACGGGTTTCGATGAAAGATTCTCCCCTATCGACCAGTCGTAGGTCACTGATAAGCTGTTTACTGGTGTCCAGTCTCCTCGTACCGGTTCGAATCGGTTTTGAGGCCAGGAACATGCAGATCTTTGCAAGATTCGAATGAAAAAAAAGTGATGTAAGAATAATCGAAAACAGCAGAAGCATCATTTCTGAAGAATAAGAGAGCGAGATATCTTAAAAATAATAAATTTTGTTTTATTACATTACCAATTTATATAGAGGGGACAAGGTAGAGGAAAAATTGTGTTTTTATACAATAGCATATACGTTAATAAAGTAGAATTAACTGTAAGTAAGTGTACAGAAAATTATATTAGATTATTTAGTATCTAGGTACTTTAAATTCCGATCCACCGTCCATCACGTTGGTCGGTTTCCTCTTGTTCATAATATTCTGAATCTTCTGCCATTCTCTGTCCAACTCTGCTTTCTCGTTCTTCTCTTTATTGTACTTCCTCGTTCTTCTACCGTCGGCCATCTTTACACCGTACTGAAACGCCGCTTTCGGCAACGCTTCTTTATTGTTCATGTATTCGCTGTACTCCTCCGGCGTATCGAAGTCCCATCGACCGATTGGGCCTTTTTTATTACCAAGGTCCATCTTGGTGTAATCGACCTCGTCGTCGGAATCGTCAATGGCGTCCTGCATTTCGTCCAGACCGGGGTAACATTCCGCGTAGCCTTCCGGCTCGGCGGCCAACTTGTTAAGGAGAGCTCCTTTCTTGGGAGCATTGACGTCTACACTAGAGGACGCAACGCTAGGCAATTGTGGAGCATTTGCTTTGTCATCTGCGTCCAAACCACTTTCTGGCTTGTCAAAGTAGGACGCCTTCTTTTTCTCTCTAGACTGATTCTGGTCCTTCTTCCCGATCGCAGGAACATAGTCCCCGATATCACCATAAATACTCTCGTCCTGTGGTCTTGGCGCGATGTCCATGTCATTCATATCATCAGGCCTGGATCTGCCGTCTTTATTCTTCTTTCCTTTCTTCCCGTGACGGTTACCTTGCCGCAGGTACGACAATATCTGCGCCAGTTTGTTTATTACTATGTCGTTTGTCGTTAAGGTCGGCGTGTTGTCTATCGTAGGTACGTCTGCTTTACTTCTGATCAAAGTGGTCGGTATATCTACATCCGTGTTCTCGTCATCCAGTTCTATTACGTAAGCCATGCGACCAGGCGTGAATAGTTCGTTCCTTTCTATTGTCTTGGACTTCATGGTCATAACAGTCTTGTAAACATTGCGGGCGATTTTGGTCTTAAATTGCATTTCATCATCTTTCTTCTCCACCTCCTTTTTCTCCTTCACTTTCTCCTTTGGCTTCACCAGCTTCTCCATCTCTTGCTCCTGTTCGTGCTCCTTTGCCTCGATTTCGCTACGTACCTGTTAAAAAATGATTTCTTTCAACAATCATGTGTCAATGTGCGATTACATTACAGATTAACCAGTTTCTGTTTCGTATTAAATACCTTCTGCAGGAGAGCATAATCTAGCCCTTTCACCAAGTGAGTGTGCTCCATGTCTCCACCCAAGAATTTGGACTGTTGGATCATTTGCCGTCTACGTTCAGCAGCATCCATTCCTGACTTCAAGTCTGGTGCCACAGCTCTGTACGCACTGGCGCTGTTCATTGGATCCTCAGCTTGGTAATCTTGATTCGTACCGTCCCTACGTTCTCTTGCTCTGTCTCTATACTTTTCTGCCAATTCTGCCATCTTATCTTCCTCCTGCTTTTTCAGCTTGGCATAGAAGCTCTTCTTTTTTCTCCTGAGCTCTGCTCGACTGCCACCGCTGACATTGGGAGTCTGTGCAGTTTTTGCACTGGCATCTCTAGCAGTTCCAGGTACAGACGCTGGTGTGGCCGATGGAACAGATGCCCTTGGGGTCATCAATAACTTACGGAAGTCATCGTTCGTTAAACGAACGGACATTCCCATGTCCTCCTCGGCTGTGTCTGGCATTTTTCCGTTCGTAGGTCGTTCTCTTTAATAAGATTGAGGTTACTTTGTGAAAGTAAGTGAAAGAATCAAATAGAGCAACATAAAAAAACATCACTATACTCAAACTTGAAATATGGCTGTACATACCTTAAATACTGTAAAGATCACAGTAATTATTTTAAGGTATTCGACATCTGTGGCACAATCGTTTGTATCAATATTATTTCATGAATGAAAATGTCAGGTTTATAAACATCGATAGCCTTGCCATCTATCAGACATCTAGTAGACTACATCCAGAAAATAATGGTCCCTTCTACAGGTAATGTAGATATCTTATTTATAGCAAGAATGATTGTGTTGTGTACACATGTATGTATGTAAATATGAAATTTAACAATAAAATTATGTCTATTACAGATGTGGAATTTTATTCAATAACTTTTACAAACAACGTAATATAACGGATCGGAGAAGATATCATTGCAGTAATCATTTTGCATTCTGTACAACATAATAGTGAGCATCTATGCAATCCACATATTTCATTGTTGCTTTTCCTAATTGAGGATTAGCAATATAATGTGCAAAGCGAGTAATGCCATTGCAAGCAGCTCCGTACTCGCCGTGTTTGTTTAAAGCAATTACAGCACCAGTGAATGTCGGATAATGCTCAGCAATTCTACGGATTGCTATGGTAGCGGCTGCAGTTGGACTGGCACCTCGACGCATCTCTTCCACGGCCAGGAAACTGTACAGATATTTATCGATTCGGATTTTCAAGCTTTGTACAAAAAATCTGCCTTATGGTTTATATAAGATTCTTTACCTGGGTAAAAATCGCATCATAATGTCACCCTCACCGGTACCAGCAGCTGCGCCAACTTTCTGATCAGCGTATGCACCAGCACCTGCGATCGGAGAATCTCCAATGCGGCCAGGAATTTTATTCCTCGCGCCGTTAGTCGATGTACCCGCGGCTATGTGCCCATTCGTATCTATCGCGAGAACCCCAATTGTGTCATGGTTCTCCTCGTTTACGTACGATTGATGTTCCTCGATGGAGTTTTCCATTTCAGTCATGAAATGATACGGACCGCAACTTTTCTTTGGGTCTGGAGCCACATTCTGGGGTAAGGAATACGTGGACTTAGTTGGAGAGTAGCTTACATTTGAATTAAATATCTGGTACCTTCCAGAAATTCGGCTGGCAGTTATTGTCTTTCCAATCCGACCACATCTTCTTGGATTCTTCTGTCTGCAACGATTCTTCTTCGAATCCCATTTCTAAGGCAAACTTTGTTGCCAGCTCTCCGCCTAGCAACGAATGTTTGGTGTTTTGGAGAACCTTACGAGCTACCGAAATTGCATTCTTCACGTTTCTTAGAAGACCAACACCGCCTACGTCCATTGTAACTCTGTCAACAAGAATAAGTTAATATAAATTTTGCAGGACTTCTGGATAAATGAGTCTGCGAGCAAAGAGGTGTTATACCCGTCCATGATTAACGCGTCTAATGTTGTTTCCCCAGATTCATCTGGGCTGCCTCCATATCCTACAGTTTTCCTGCACTTCTGTGCTTCACAGAGACTGCAACTTTCTTCTATTGCATCCAGGGCACTCCGTTTTTCATTGTACAAAACATCCCATGCTGAATACAATTATAATTCATATACATTAATATAGTGTTAACTTTTTATGAACTGTGTGTGTTTAGAAGCTGTACCTTTTTGTGTAGCATCCTGGTAATCCCAAGTAACTACAACCAGAGGAATGCTATTGTTGGAGGTGCCTGTTGCTCCAGAAGTTGCTAAGTAAATACTTGCAACGAGACAAGCTATTAGGAGGAACTGCATCCTGGGAGCTCTGTTCCGACTATTGATCAGTATTGAGAATTTATGGTCTAGACACTCCTTGTTCATGGAATAGGTGGGGATATATCTCTGATGTCAAGCTGTGTACAATTATAATATTGTTTTAATATTATGTTTCTTAGCAACACAGTCCTCTGATAATCTGCAGATGTCAGTGAACTTCTATAATCGTTTTGTACTTGTTTAAACTGTAAATACATAATTCTATCTGCATTTTTATTGATGAAACATTTTACTTAGGTAACCGACTACAATATCATTAATCAATTTAACATTCGACTAATTCCAATATGATTAGATCAATCAGAACCATTGATATAAAACCAAATTAAGTTTGGATTTATTATTAATGATATCTTATCTAACTCATGGAAAAATTCAGTGATAGCGGCTACGAAGAATGTGTTTTAATCAGCGGCCAATGCAACCTTATCAACGATATACAAATATACCGACTGCGAATTACAGTTTCATCGGCATAAAAACTTATCGAATATACATATGTAAGTACATATATATGTAGTTCAAAACTAGTTTGCAAATTTCTCAACAAATTCTCATCGATCCCACTCAACGAATGATTCGATTTTATTTAAATAATTCAATTCAATAATTAGGTTCGTAACAACTCCGTTACTCTGCCCTTATTGTTTGCACGGAAATTCACCAATTACGTTTATCAAATATGTTTGTCGAACGCCCTTAGGCGTTCAAAAGACACATAATATGTACAACGAATGACTTAAAATTTCTAACGCTTAATCGTCTAAACTAGTTGTAAAGAATTAAATGCTGTAACCTACTGACCAATGAGAACTCCGAATTATTTGGACCACCGTTGATCATTCAGTTCCTGACCATTCTGTTACGTTCACTTTTGATTTTCTCGTCATTTTGTGAGGCATTTAAAAAAAAACATTGATTGTCCGCGACGATCTTGATGGCAATTTCGAATTTGGTGTAAACATGGATGGGTTCATTGACACGAGCAATTTGTAATCGATGCGGAGGTGTTTCGCTTACCTCAATCATAAAATAAATAAACGGTATAATTCCGTAAAGTCTTAACAAATACTGTAAACGTTGCAAGAAAGAAATTTTATTGACAATTCTTCTTTGAGACTGAATAGCACGGTTAACGCTGATCGTTCGTCGCAGTTGTAACCTGCACGCATCGATCTTTCAAAAATGCCCTTCAAAAAAGATGTACGGCTTTTGTTGAAGCCCTATTATTTAATAAACATTTTGCTCAGCCTTTCGTACATTGTCTCGAAGCGAATTCCATTTGTTTGTCATTATGTGTTCGCGCAGGCCGAATGTGAACTTGATGGGGTAAGTCAAAAACAAAACTTCATCCTCTATGTTAGATAAATACTAACAAATGGCCTATTTTTTCTTTTTTAGAGAGAAACAGAGATCCTATTTTTTCTCATGATAGTCATAATGATAAGGTCACGAAAAACTGGAAGTGTTACCATGATAAACTATCTCTCGTCCAGCTTCGTGTACACCAAAGTTGCCAATCTGATTCTTTGGTTCTACGCAGATATTCGCATGGGGATACTATTTGCCATCATATTCATTTGTATGTACTTATTCAATAATCTGTATTGTATAATGTATGTATGTTACAATAGAAAATTGTAATTATAGTATGCGGTCTGTTGTTCCCCGAACCAACGTATCAGGGCCCAGAGAATGTAATTTACCTACATGGTGCAAGTGGACTGCAAGAAGAGCTGCAACGCGACACAAGAATTATTTGGCTGGTTGCATTCTATACTGCATGGAATCCAGCTTGTGTTAATTTTGCTCCAATATTTTCTGAATGTTCTGCAGAGTTCGTTCATTTGCTTCATATGTGTATTAATATCAATAGAGTGTTCTGTGATAGTAAAATAATATATATTTCCAGATACGCTTTAGACAACTTGAAATTTGGAAAAGTGGACATCGGAAGGTATCCAGATGCAGGAGCAAAGTATCATGTTAGTGATGCTAGCACTAGCAAACAGCTGCCAACCTTAATTCTGTTTAAGGAGGGCAAAGAGGTAGAAAGGCGCCCGTACGCTGATCGTAAGGGTAAACTGGTTAAATTTCTTTTTTCATTGGTACGTATATTACAGATTTCTGTGCACATTCATAATTTTGTATGCACCGGTTAACAGAAGTTACTTTATAGGACAACATAAAGGCAGCATTTGATCTGAACAATCTGTACAAGGATTGTAAAAAGAATCCATTGAAGAAAAAAGAAAGGAAGTCTGTGAAGGCTGAGTGAATTGTTCCACGTATTTAGGCATTTTGTTAAAGCGTTATCGGTTCCATAGCACTGCCAACGACTACGATCGAAGAGTGACTTCTACTGTGTAGAACAGATATTTAGTATACCATTGTCTCGTGCAAATTTTAATTTATAGAGAAATACGAACGTTTGTAAATATTTCATTCTGTCCTTTACCATCACACGCATGTCATGCACCACTGTGTTCTATTAGTAACGATGGGACGGTAGTGTAGAGAAAAAGACGACGAGTCGATCGAAAGGTAGACAATGTCACAATCGACATTGAATGATTTAAAAGTGCCACATGTTGAGTATGATTTGCACACGTGAAAAGTGGGCGTTTTATCTAACCAAAGTGACGTACGGCTTCTAGTTACAGTACGTGTAACTCGTTGCAGTCTTCAATGAATAAACAATTGTTGAATTGTACGCTTTTGTAAGGCTTTAATGTATATGTACATTGTGTGTTACATTAAATTTTCATATACTACAAAATTCAGGCATGTATATACAATAGAAAATGTTGGTAAATTAAGTATTACAATATATTATACAGGTGGCCAGATGGTCGCGACTTCTCCGTGAGCCGATTCTGGTAGCCATTTCTGATAGGACGACAAGAGAACTGAAATTAATCACATTCTTTTTTATTGCCTGTCATTCCAATCAACGGATGTATTATGTACAAAAGAATGTATACTTACAACTTTTATCGGTTTCCCAGATCTCCCGTAATTTCTCTCTTGACATAATCGCATGAGACAATAGGAGCTGAGTTATTTCTTGTGTTCGTGGTATTAATCTAAAATCATATTATTACAATGAATTTTCTTATATTATTTACAATTTCGTCATACAAAAATCTTACTTTGCCCAGGATTTGTTGATGCTCTGTGGCGTCGAGAGCAACGAAGGGACAAATCGTTGTAATTTCAGACAGACTTTACCCTCCAAAAAGAAACACGCAAACCATTTCACTCCTTCGGTGGACAGAGGATGCTCCACGTTCATCAATGGTAATGTCCAACCAGCCTTTCCCACTGTTCCTCTCATGGTACACATTACTTTTCCAGTCTCTGTGTCATACCTATGGATATACAAACAATATACAGTTATATAAGTTCTTCAAGGCAATGAAATTTACAGTTGGTATCACAGACCTTGGAGGTGGGTCAGTCAAGGGTTCTCCGAGCTGACAGAGGGACGGAGCAAACTTGGGTAGCCATTCCGGTTCTATAACCGTGACGCCACGCATATACATTTTATTAGTCTCGTATATTTCTTGGTAAACTACCCATTCAGGACACGATTTACGGAGAACGCACGACGAGAGCATGAACACTGGATCCTCCATGTCTAGGGTTCTAGTAGAACAAATACGTGTAATTTCGTCCATACGAAACGCTTCAATAATTCAATACAAATCAATCGTACTTATAAGCGTATTTCCATTTAGTTTTGTCTTGATCTTCACCGATTTCGTCTGGCATTACCTTCCTTGCGATCTGGTCAGCCATACCAGCAAGAACTATTTGTCTCAATAGTTTCGCTTCAATGTCGGTAGGTGGTTTCATTCTGCGCGAACATTTGAGGTTAAGGAAGCGATCTTTTTATACGAAAAATACCATTCGGGATACGTACTGTGGATCGATAGTTAGATTTAGATCCTGTATATTCAAGTTGATTTCATTTGTCAGCTGTTGTCGAAGCTTCCTGATCTCGACCACTGCTTTGTGCCTCAGACCGTGCTCGTCGCAAAACGAGAGGAGCTTGCCTTTAGTCCCAGCATATTCTGATGCTCCCACTGCTCTTATCAGGACCATTGGATCGCCTGTGCAAACGTCTTTTTATTTGTACCATGCTCTCTAGATTCGCCCAATGAAATATTCAATCGACGTACCAAGAAGCAAACTATTTCCTGCTCCAGCCCAGTGACGTCTCATTCGTAACCATTTGCCTTTCGTACCGCCATCCGAACTGAACGCCTCCACCAGGACTTCTTGAACAGAAAGCGCAGCAACCATACACACGGTGTACTGCAAAAGATTGTGCTGATGGGAAAGAGCCAACATCTTTCCATAACGAGGAGCAACCGGAAACGCAGCGATACTGTGACCAAGTGGCGTGACTTTGGCGCTGTATGAACCTAAAGGGACAACAGAATTGTTTAAGAATCTGTATTAAATCCAGAGATGCGATGTTCGTACCTTCCTTTCCAGGTGACGGTTGATACAATGCACCCAGAATCAATAGTCGTCTTTCGGCTGTTCGTAGTTGCACAGTGTCTGGCGGTGTTGGGAACGGGAAGTTCACGACTTTGTCAATGTTCATTGCTTTCATTTGCAGCAGTAAGTCGTCCACTGGCTTCCGTTGGATCTCCGATTGACTGAACTGTTCGAACTGATCGTTGAACACCGCTGAGGAGTATAGTCTGAAAGGTAGTCCTTTGTTGGATGTATCTTTAATACAAATACGATTGTGTAGGTAATAAAGTACCTATAGCAATGACCAGGACCGGTTCTACCCGCTCTTCCAGCACGTTGATTCGCGGACGCCTTGCTGGTGTAACATATTTCATACGTACTCACACCTGTCACCTTATCGTACATTCTGGTTTTGCAACGTCCAGAGTCTACAACGTATTTTATGTTGGGTATTGTTAACGAAGTTTCTGCTACGTTTGTGGAGACCACGCATAAACGACAGCCCTCCGGGGGTGGCTCGAACACCTGAGAACGAATATGTTTTAACTCCTTGTGTCGACGCATAATTTTTTTTTTAATTACCCTAGCTTGCTTGTGGCTCGGTAACAAAGAGTAGAGAGGCAGCACCCACAGTGGTTGTGCGTTTGCACAAAGTTTCAGATCAATAACGTCGTCATCCTCGTCCTCGTCCTCGTCCAAATGAATCTCTTCGTTTTCTTCCCCTCCAATTAAATCTTCATGTGTATCGTCAGCAAAAGGAATTCACGTATTTAGCTCGTACATACTCGTCCAGATTAATAGTTGGTAACTGAATCTGCTTCTTTTGTCTTAGCTTGTTGTAACGTATGGCCTCCTTGCAACGAAAATCATCGTCAGAGTCATCACAGTCGCTTTTGGTTTCAGTATCTTTATCTTTCTCGTCGGAATTCGCTGTGTCTTGTGTAGTCTCTATTTTCTTCTGTACCTGCTTCTTCTTCTTTTTTATAGGAAAAGCTTTACGCAGTCTACGTACCACCAAATTGACTTCCTGCTGTCCTGAATTTTTAGCGTTAAACACATTTGTCAGAGTAGGCCGATTATGATCCGATTTATAACTGTAAGATACATGCCTGTTAGAAATATTAAAATACCGCCGTCTGGCAAACGAGTGTGTATCTTTATTGCTTTTCGAAGAGCGTTAGCAACATAGTTAGAACTGGTTCTTCTATTAAAATGTATTGTAACAGGAAACTGTCTGGTCTCCACTGCTATCACCGGTGGTTTGATCTTAAACAATCTCTTATTCTCCACAAACTCTTCTACCCTCAAAGTAGCTGACATTACTACAAGTTTCAGAGGATTGTTCCTTTTACTCCGTAACGGTACTATCCGAGATAATAAACCTATTAGAATATCTGTGTATACGCTCCGTTCGTGTGCTTCGTCCAAGATGATTACAGAGTATTTTTTTAACAGAAAATCCTGTAAAATTAATCATCGTTAGCCCACATCATTTCTGGGAAGCCCAGCAAAAGCTATTAACATACAGTTTGTATTTCTTTCAACAGAACACCGTCGGTCATGAATTTGATCTTGGTCTCCGGCGTAGCATTCCCCTCGAAACGAATCAGATACGAAACCTCCTTCTCCGTGAGATTCATTTCTTCACCGACACGTTTGCTCATAGACATAGCAGCCACTCTTCTAGGCTCAGTGATTCCGATTAGCCTATCTCGAGCATAGCCAGCTTCGTAAAGAAATTGAGGCACCTGAGTGGTCTTACCACTCCCTGTCTCACCAGTAATTATTACAACGGGATTCTCATTAATTGCCTCCACAATAACCTGTTCCTCTGCCACTACTGGTAACTTTAATCTAACTGCTTGTATTTCTGACTTCCTCTGTAATGTTACAAAGATGGCAGGCTTTCTGTCTACTGGCTTTTGTTCCTTCTGTGACTTCAAGGAACCTTTACTTTGGACAGCAACGACTCCTTCTTTTTCTTCAAGAGCTTCCTCTGTGACATTGCTCTTATTTGAAGACTGATCCTCTTTCTCTGGGGAACCCTCTTTTGCAGTTTCTTTAGTTTCTGCAGGCTGATCATGTGTCTCGTGCTCTGAAGTATTTTCCTCTTGTTCAGATTCATTATCTTCTTCATTATTCGACTCTGACTCACTGTCACTGGATTCCTATAATACATGCTTATCAATACCCATGACAATTTAGTCTTATCGGTAACTTACATCAAATCCCACAACATTTGGATCCTGAACAGTTGCCTCTTCTCTTTCTTGTGCTAAAATAGCTAATCTTCTCTTCCTTCCACCTTTAATAGCATTTATAGATAATTCCTTGCCATCGCATTCATAGTCAGTCTTTGTTACAATAGGTAACTCTGCTTCTCTGAAATGACGTTTTAAGCCTTTCGTTTGCACAGACGTTAAGGATACATATTGTTTTAACTCATCTTGGGATGCCTGAACTTTTGCCAGTTCTTCCAAAAGTGTGGCTCTCTATTTGTAAATAAAATACTATATGAAACAACCAGCACAAACTACGATTACTTTGTACAGATTTACTTACTTGTAACTTTTTCTTCTTCTTCTCTACAACTTTTTCTAATAGTTTTCTACGCTTTTTCGACAATAATCGAGTAATAGTTACTTTTTTAACTTTATTCTTTGTCTTTCTTTTTTCACTAGGAAGAACTAACGCATTGCAATTATCATAATTGTCCTCGCGGTGTTTAAGATCCAAAGCAATCTGTTTCAAGGAAATAATGTTACAAAAACAATATTCGTTTCATACAATGTATTCGTAAAAACATGGAATTTAAAAAACTACCTTCTTGGCACCGGAATTGTCAATTTCAACTTCTGCGATATTTCTCGATTTCCAATTATGCCTTGTCTTGCCCATTTTTGATACTATTCTTTAACTAAACAATTAAACCACACTATGCTGTTTTTTTATCTTAAATAATTAAAACATTTGTAACTGCTACATAATTGTTTTCATGTTATTATACAGGCACAGGTTATGCTGTTTTTAACCATGTGCTCTATGTAGATGCGCTTCAAAAGAGGTGTCCATATATAAATATGCATATGATGTATGTATGTATGCATGTATGTATGCATGCATGTATGTATGTATGCAGATAAAATTGATTCTTAAAGTGTCATAGGTCAATGTGTATAATAACAATTGTTAATGACTCTGTGTTTAATTAAGAAATCATTCATTAATGACGTAGACCGAGTATACGAATAAAAACGATAGAAAAACTTTGTCATTCAATGTATTTTCGTTGTTATTCCTATAATCCTACTTTCTCCAACACACGCGGCCTCACGCATGCTCCGGGGGTTCTATGACCCCACTTTCTCACACACACGGGAACTCCTTCCCCATACAATAGATTTGTAGCTTAAAGAACGTAGATTAATCCTCTTATATTGATAATAACAATAAATGAGTGGAACACTGTTAAAATCACAATTGTAAGAAACGATCTCGTCACGTGTACCCCCGTTCAGTTCACTTTGGACAACTCTACCAACGTTATGTTGACAGCATTCGTCTTGACCAAGCATTCATTTTGAAGCTGAAAGAACGTAGATTAATCTGCTGTCATTGACAATAACAATAAATGACCAGAACACTGTTAAAATCGCATTTAATCGCAGACTACCACTTTTTTTTCGACCGATGGCGCCACCCGTGGCAATTCGCTCAAACTGCTAGCCAAATCATACCGACAGGTGAGTGAAAATTCCTAGTGATCGAAAAATGCGAATATCTCAGTAATTCAGCGTTCAAAATGAACACCATTAGGATCAAATTATTCCTGAGAACTGAATGCATCGACCCAATACTGAAAAACCCCAGAATTAGTAAAATTATTTATACCTGTATTAACGTTGACCCTTATGGAGCGACAACCCAAACTATAACTGGTTTCGATTGCATTTACACCGCTGAAGGGTCATCATTTTTCTTCATTACGCATTAGATTCGAATTTTAAAGAACGTACATTAGTACTTTCTAGCGTCTGGAAACCAGTAATTATAAAAACATTGTTAAAATCACACTTGTTTGTAACGATCTCGTCATGTGTATCCCGTTCAGTTCACTTTGGATAACCCTTCCAACGTTATGCTGACAGCATTCGACTTGACCAAGCACTCGACATGTAGCTGAAAGTACGTAGATTAATCCACTGTTATTGATAATAACAATAAACGGCCGGAACACTGTTAAAATCGCATATAACCGCGGAGTACCACTATTTTTTTGAATGGTGGCGCCATCCGTGGCGAATCGGTGAAACTGCTAACCAATTATATGGCTAGCAGTTTCAGCGATTCGCCACGGATGGCGCCACCGTTCAAAAAAAAAGTGGTATTCCGCGATTAAATGCGATTTTAACAGTGTTCCGGCCGTTTATTGTTATTTTCAATGACAGTGGATTAATCTACGTTCTTTTCGCTTCCAACAGAATGCTTGATCAAGACGTAACTTGTCCATAGAACGTTGGAAGAGCTATTTAAAGTGAACTAAACGGGGTACGCATGGCGAGATACAGTGTCAACCGTTGCAAACAAATGCGATTTTAACAATGTTCTTGCGGTTACTGGTTTCCAGCCGTTAGAGAATAGTAATCTACGTTCTTTAAGCAGTGCTTCTAATGCAAAACGAAGAAGAACCATGCCCGTTTAGCGGTGTAAATGCGTTCGAAATCATTTGCAATTAGGGTTGCCGCCTCATAAGGGGCTACAGTAATACAGACTTAACTAATTTTACTAATTCAGCTGTTCTGCACTATTGGGTCGATGCATTAAGTCCTGAGGGACAATTTGAGACTAATAACGTTCATTTTAAGTGGTTAATTACTGAGATATTAGCATTTTTCCATCACTAGAAATTTTCACTCACCTGTCGGTATTCTTTGGCTAGCAGTTTGAGCGATTCGCCACGGGCGGCGCCACCGGTCATTAAAATAGTGGTATTCCGCGATTAAATGCGATTTTAACAGTGTTCCGGCCGTTTATTGTTATTATCAATAACAGTGAATTAATCCACGTACTTTCAGCTACGAATTGAGTGCTTCAGCTAAACGAAAGCTGTCCGTATAACGGTGTTCGACCTGTCCAAAGTGAACTTACCGTGGTACGCATGACGAGATACAGTGTCAACCGTTGCAAACAAACGTGATTTTAACAATGTTCTTATAATTACTGGTTTCCAACCGTTAGAGAATAGTAATCTACGTTCTTTAAACGTTGTATCTAATGCAAAACGAAGAAGAATCATGCCCATTTAGCGGTGTAAATGCGATCGTAATATTTTGCAATGACGGTTGTCGCCTCATAAGGGGCTACGGTAATACAGGCATAACTAGTTTTACTAATTCTCGGGTTCTGCGGTATTGGATCGTTGCAGTAAGTTCTCAGGAATAATTTGAGACTAACAACGTTCATATAATTTAATAGTGTAACCGTGACAACGAACGCATGTATATTTTCAAATATCGGACTAATAGTATATTTTTATTCTATATTATTACATAGAAGTGAGTAATACGTATCAAAAACGTAATCGATATAAAGATATTTCATTATATTGACATTTGTAATAATTATGGATGTTGCAAGGAAATCAATATTATAGACATTATGGAACATATAACGAAATGTCACTGTAACCCTTAAAAAAGTTTTAAAGTTCCATTTATATCATTGTCCTGTGAAAATATTCATACTTGGAGTAGCATTCATATTCCAATCAAAGAATTCACAGAATAAGGAAAAGGAATCT